CTATGGGGTTCTTGAATACCATAACTACTGATGGGTTTAAGAAAAAGTAGAGGTGGGCAAGACAATAAGACTTATTTTGGGTCTAAGACAGCTAAACACATTAATCAGAAAGCTCAACATCAAGATGGCATCCCTAGATTCTCTCATTCCATCTCTAAATCCAAATGATTGCTATGCTACACTTGATCTCTGGGATGTCTGTTTCCATATCACTATTTTTCTGGCCTACAAGAAATAGCTTCCAAATGAATAGTTGCCATTACTAGCACAGAGTATTACCATTTGGCCCATCCATAGCATGCAGGATTTTCATAAAATGCCTGGTGCTAGTGGCAGCTTTCTCAGAAAGCTGAGAGTCTAAGTATCCTCATTCTTGCACAATTGGCTTATTCTTAGGAAATTGCACCATTAAATAGAAGACTTCATTCAGCAGACTCTGAATCTGTTTAACAGGTAGGCCTGAAAGTAAACAAAGATAAGTCAATACTGACTCCAACATAAAGTAGAATTCACAGGAATGATTCTGGATTCCATGATAGTGATGTTTCTCTTAAGAAAGATTTCAAGCCATTCTGAGGAGCCTATGTACCTCTCCCCAGACTCCATAACTCATCATGCAAAACTTTATGCTTCATGGAAGGATAGTTGTAGGCTTCGTATCAGCCAAGTAGACATCAACTGCACATGCTAGTTTATGTTTCACCACAAGTCTTATCATTAAAGTGAAGGATGGACTCTACAAAAGTTTGCAGAAGATTCCAGTTGCTTATACACACTTGTATCTAATACTGGTGATGAATGTTAACTGAATACGAATGCGGGATTATGGTCTCCTCAAGGTAAAGTTTCATATGAGTATTTTGGAACTGAAAGTAATTCATTAAGTATGCTCAGCTTTCCCTGAGCCATCAAGAGTTCTTGCTATTCAGGTCATGATGAATAGCAATGATTGTGTTGGATATAAATAAAAAGGATGACACAAAATCTACTCCACTGTATCAAGAAGCTGTATGACTTTGGAACCTATGTATTCACCATAAGAGCAACTAAAGGAAGTTCAGTCTATCAGGAATAAAGAGAACATTGGTAGATCACTTTGGCAGACTAATTATAGATGGCCACAAGTGGTCCATAAATGACAGTATGATTCTGTAAACTGTATTCCTCAGGTGGAGTTTCCTAACCATAGATCTCTTTGTTACCAGAGAGAACTGGAAATGTCTTCACTTCTGTTTCAAAAAGGGTCAGAGGCATCAGTTTTGAATGCATTCCTGATCATATGGTCCTTAGGCCCTTTGTTATGCATACCATCTGATTCCAGTAATACCCAGGATTCTCAGAAGGCTCAAGCAGGAATCTGACAAAATGATCATGATAGTTCCTTCCTGTCCCAGGCAATTTTGTTACCTGTATCTCTAAAATATCTCCATTTAAATCTTTGACACACTTATCTAGAAAACCCCACCTAGTATATCAGAATCATGGCCAAGTCTTGCATCTAATCTGTATAGTCATCTTATTTCATTATTAAGAATATTAGCTGACTGATTTAATCAGTAATAATATGTTCATCAGAGGTCATAGCAAAAAGTTATAGCGTTCAGTCACAACAAAAAGTATTTTACCAGAAATATTTATTCTGCAAAATGAGAGAATTTTCGAAATGGGGATGAAGTAGTATTATACAACTCCTCAGTTACCTTGGTTGTAAGACAGGAAAGAGTCAGACTTGCCTGCCTCGTGACCTAAATCAGTATTAAGGATTGTGAGCTGCACAAAAATATTAATGCCACTTAGTCAAGGAGGTGAGAATCAGAATCTATGGTCTCCTAGCTGCCAGTCTAGTGTACCTTTCTATAGGCCAAAGGGTGATGTGTAAGAATTGTTCTCTGCCTCTGTTTTACCTGAAGTGTGGATAGGGCATGACATTTGGCAGGTCTGAAATGAAATTGTTCACTTTCCAGAAAATCAGAATGAAAGTCCATGGCAATTAGAACTGTGCAGAGAAAGGTGATTCAATTTTAAGGAGAATTTAATTATTTTGTCTGATTTGGAATGAAATTCTAATTTTTTAAACTTTCCATCAAAGGGAATGGAGCCCTAGTTCTGAGGCTATCTGAATGGCAGGCACCCCTGGAGCCACAGACCCTGGAAGCCCTGGAATCTCCAACCCTAAGGCAGTCCACATGGCAGGCTCCCTCAGATCCTAGAAACTTGAGTCTCCAACTTTGAGGCAATCTGCTTGTCAAGCTGCTGAGGAACTAAAGTCAGGTGATCTGGCAGAAAAACTGAAACCTGCTTGGCAGATGGGATTCCATTGAATTCCTACCTGTGTTCCACTGGAGTGCCAGTGAAATCAAAACACCTCTGCAAAATGTTTCAGTTTGGACAAAAGGAAAATTATAAGAAAATGTTCCATTGAACTTTAACAGTCAGCTCTAATAGCAATGTTGTATTTGAATTTCCAGTATTACAGGAAAAGGATCAAATAAAACTATTCTCATTTAATTAGGAGAAAAGAAATTTCATGAAAAATTTACATTAGGATTTGTCAAATCCGTTTTTAATAAAATTACATTCAACCTATATGTGGGGTTTAACCTAAATAGATGGCATTTTTTCAAAATATAATGGTTAGTTTCATGACTATCAATAATATTTTAGTCTTTCACACTCAAGACAGTATGTACATCTAATCTTATGTTTCAAATCATTACTTTATCTGTCATCAGCAGCCACAAAAATAGTTCTTCCTTTCTCCATATAACATTATAGTAAAGTGCATTCATTTTTTTCCTGAAGAATTAAGTTCAACTCCTAGGGTAGAGATAGCTGACTAAATGAATTGCTAATCTGAATGATTTCTGCATACAGTAAAAGCTTTGTTATCAGGCATGTTGGACAAATGAGGGTGCCGATTAGTCAAATATTGCAGTTAACTAAGAGTTAAATGGAATAATTGCAGGAATGAGCAAGGACTCCAGCTTGGGGTGTAGGCTCTGGCTTGGGGCCAGGGCTGAGGGGTTTTGGATGCAGGAATAGGCTCCAGACTGGGGAAAGAGGATGAGGCCAGAGTTTGGTGTGTGCGAGGCAGCTCTGGGGCTGAAGCATGGAGTTGGGTGTGGGAATGGTATGGGCTCAGGGCTGGGGTTGTGGGCTTTGGGGTGGGGCCAAGGTTGAGGTGTTATGGATGTCGGAGTTGGCTCCAGGCTCGGGCTGAGAGTTTGGAGTGTGGAGGTGCTGCGGGGTTCAGACTTCAGGAAAGAGTTTAGGTGTGGAAGGAGCTCAGGGAAGCGGATTGGGGTGGCTCCCTGTAAGCACGGACATGTCTCTGCTTCTCCTAAGCAGAGGCATGGGTAAGTGGCTGTGCACGCTCCACCTGCGTGCACCCACAGGTGTTGCTCCTTCAGCTGTGGTTACTAGCCAATTGAAGTTACAGAACCAGCACTCTGAGCCCCCATGGTGCTTCTAGGCAGAGGATCAGCCAGGAACATGTTGCTGCTTCCAAGAAGCCACGTATAGCCAGGTAGGGAGCCTGCCAGCCACGCATCAACCAGACTATAAACCGGACTTTCAATGAAGAGTAGATATGTCGGTTTATAGAGCTTCCTCCAGATAAAAAAGGTTTTAATGTGATATGATAATGGACATGTTAGAAATATTGTAGATAACAGGAGAATAGTGTTAGTTATAATGGGGGAAAGGATATTTTGCCATTTCTTACATAGATGTCTAAGACCATTTTCAATGGGAAAACCCCATAAAACATGGCATGTAATAAATAGTTCTAAGAATTAGGGATGTAAAATCCCATTAATTAGTTAACCGGTCACACATTAAGTTAAGCTGGGCCCACCACAGTTAGGGGCTGCTCTGGCCGGGCTGGAGTGTCCCCTGCGCACAGTCGGGCCTATAGGGCTAGAGCAGCCCCCTACCCACAGTGGGTGGGGGCTTGCTCCACCCACCATTGGTTAATTGTAACCAGTAAGCCTCACCTTTAATAGGTGAGGCCTGCTGGTTAACCATTAACATCCCCATTAGGAATACATCATGTTAGTGGCTTCATTTTGTTCCCTGCTATGTCTATTGTAGGGTTTGAAGGACATAGAGTATGTGCATGCCTGAACTATATGCATTTCCTGACTATATTGAGTTTGTGGAACAGTCTACATGTTGGTTGAAAATGCAGTTTTGGTAGCACATACAAATTGTTTTATTTGAATGAAATTTTCATCTAGTGCCGAACGTTAGTATTGAATTTTCATCATGGAGTTATGAGTTCTCAGACCTGTCTTGGAATCATACTCTACTGGGTTCTTGAAAGTGTTGATGTGTAATGAAGAAAAGGTGAGCAAGAAGCCATGACCACTTTTATGCTGCAGTTTTAGGCATACAACATTCACTTAATTTGTATTCTTGAATTTTTCCACAGAGAAGCTTACAGCATTGTTGCTTCCATAATCAGACCATTCCCTTTGAAATTAGAGCATGGAAACCACAGTCACCTGGAGGAAAATATATGTAGTATACCGACATATGCTGGGGAATTTAGGCCCAGATCCTCAAAGGTATAGACTCCTAACTTATACAGAAATTCGTGGAAATTTAAGAGCCTGTAAATACTTTTGAAGATATGGGCCTATGCGTGTATTCAGATCTAGGTTGGAATGTGTTTATGTAGTCCAATATTATAATAAGTTACAAATATTTTTTTTGTTTGGGACTCGAGATGGATTCCTAATTTTCATTGAGAATCAATATCAATTTTAATTTCCAAAATGCATTGGTATTGGTACCCAAATTATTCTGTCATATATTGGGCATAAAGACAGAGAGGTATCTTCATAAATTGTCATGTGGAATGGTCTTTAAAAAATCTCTTCTTTGCTTATACAAAACTGAGTTTGTTTAATGATATTTGAAGATTAAACCTTAGGCATTTTTCAGATTTCTTTTTATCATTATATGCCAAATATGACAGTGCTGATATTCTCTTTCAGGAGACACTGATAGACTGGTGTGATGAAAAGGAACTTAACTTGATTTTGACAACTGGAGGAACAGGGTTTGCACCACGAGATGTTACTCCAGAGGTGAGAGATCCTGGATTAAGAACAGCCTGCCCTTTAGCAGATAAACTTACTGACTTTTAGAAATGTATTTCATTGATTTGATTCTACACTTTCTCTAGACAGATTGGGTGATACACAGCAAAGGACCTCTAGCTGATAGGTCGCGACAGCTCTAGGGGCCAGGGCTGGGGTACATCACTCCTACCACAGCTGTTGGGAGATGCATGTCCTGCCCTGCCTCTTAGAGTCTTTGGGCGGGGACTCTAAGAGGTGGGGTGTTGGTACTGGGAGGGTTCTGGGGATGAAGCTAATACTGGGGGACACTGGGGCATCTAGGGTGGAGAGCTGGCCCTGAAGGACTCTGGGGGCAGGGCTAGTAGTTGGGGTGGGGTGGGGGCAGGGCTGACACTGGGGGCCTCTGGGGACAGGACTAACATTGGAGACTGGGGACTGGCACCAGGGTGTTGAGTGTAGTGGGCCTTTGGAAACAGGAAGCTGGCACTGGGGAGTCTGGTGAGGGGGGGTGTTTTAAGGGATGGGGACTGGCACTGAGATGTTTGGGATGGGGAGCTGGCAATGGGGAGCTCTGAGGGTGGGAGGCTGGCACTGGGGGGTGGGATGGGTTCAGGGGACTCTGGGATCAGTGGCTGGTGCTGGGGGGTAGTGAAGGGGTGGAGGGCTCTAGGGGTTAGGGCTGGCACTGGGGTCTCTGGTGGCTGGGGATTTTGACGGACGGGCAGAAGTTTATTTGCATATTTGTTTTCATAATGAATATGCAAATAGGTGGAAACAGGAAGCTGGCACTGGGGAGTCTGGTGAGGGGGGGTGTTTTAAGGGATGGGGACTGGCACTGAGATGTTTGGGATGGGGAGCTGGCAATGGGGAGCTCTGAGGGTGGGAGGCTGGCACTGGGGGGTGGGATGGGTTTGGGGGACTCTGGGATCAGTGGCTGGTGCTGGGGGGTAGTGAAGGGGTGGAGGGCTCTAGGGGTTAGGGCTGGCACTGGGGTCTCTGGTGGCTGGGGATTTTGACGGACGGGCAGAAGTTTATTTGCATATTTGTTTTCATAATGAATATGCAAATAGGATGGTACCAGTCTGCCAAAAGTTTGTGACTGGGTTTGCTGGTCCCCAGTATAAAAAAGTTTGGGAACCGCTCGTTTAGAGGGAAGAGAAGCCTCTGCAAGGCTATAACTGCCCTTCCTATGCTGGTGGCCAGAACTTTAACGGGGTGTGTGCTCTGTGTTAGTGAGAAGGCAGAGGTAAAGGGCTGGCACAGTTTCCTTCTCTCCTGAAGCATGTGGGAACCATACTGTGACACTCATGGATCATAACATGGTTTCTCTGCTACTTCCAGGAGAGTACAGCAACATATGGCTCTTGGTTTGGGCTTATGGTAAACCCATAATCTAGTCCAGTGTTTTGAACCATATGGTATAATTATCTGACAGATATGGTCATTAAAATAGAATTAAGATTAGGAGTGTATTTCATTAATTTAAAGGGAAAACATTATAGAGACATTGTAATTGACTCAAGACTAAGCATTACATCAAGGAAATTCAGAGTTAAAATAGTGATAGAGGTCATGGAAAGACACAGAATCCATGACTTCCACAACAGACACACAGCCTTATTTATCAGTACTGGTAGACAGTTTTCAATTGAAATTAATAGATTTTTATCCATGCTTATTTTGGGGAGGAAAGGGTAGTTTGAGATACAATATACATACATTTTGATATAGTATCAAAAATCCAAATACGATATGTATATCATGCTCCCTTTGTTCACCAATGTTGTGGTTCTTTAAAAAAGTTGTAATATAATTTTTTTTATGGGGAGCTGATATTGACCCCTAAATTTTGGTTACCTAATACTTTTCATGCAAAAGAATTCTTGTCAGTACTTTTTGCTCCATTCTGCAGCATATCTTTGCTATTCTGCAGGATTTCTTCAGGTTAAAGAAGTGCCTTTTCTTTGTCCTGTGAAATTCCAGTCAGATTTTGCTGAATTGGAAAGCCTAAAAATCACAGCTTCCTTTCTCTTGTGTACCTCAGGAGAATCTGGCAGCATGCCAGAATCTTCGAACATCTAAAAAAACTTAATCTACTGCCAAAGCAGCAGTAGACACTGCACTGGGAACACCTGTGAGCTACAAAGCAGCTGTAGCAGGATGTAGGATTTGGGGAGGGAATTTCTGCCTTGGTTCCAGTTAATAAAATGACCAGAGAGTGGCAGAATTCTAAGGAAGAGGGAAAGGTCTGAGGATAATATGACTATTCAGAGGTAAAACTCTTGAAAAACTCCAGTTATTTGTAGATAAGCTTTCTTCAAATGAGCTCACTTATTCTTGCTGCTGGGAGATAAGCACGCAATCCAATCCTCAGGAAGGCAAGCTAAAAACTTGCAGTTAAACAACCATTGTAAAATTGCCCTACTAATCTGAATATCTGACTGAGAGGCCAGTTTGAGAGGTTAATGCTGTATAGCTGTGCATTTGATGTATTGATGTGATTTTATCTCTATATACAGCATCAGTGGGAAAGATAATTATGGTGTCCATATCATTAAAAGGATTTTGAAAAAAAGGAAAGGGTGTAGAAGAGAGCCACAAAAACTACCTGGCCCCTCTGGTTCTGCGCATTGTGCAAGGTGGGGGCGTTGGCTAGCTTCTCCAAGACTGAAAACAACATCTTGTAAAGAGAGATGTAAAGAGCTCAGTCTGTTTAGTTTAGCCAAAAGAAGTAGGTTGAAGATTAGAGGTTGATATGGTCCTGTATCTTTTCTCTTTGGCTCTGTGAGAGAGCTGGTAATGTCTGCGCAGAGTGTGAAGATGAACCTGTTAATATGAGGAGGTTGAAAGATACAGAATGCCAGCTTCTATTTATATACCAGGTTCTTATTTTATTTTTGCCCCCTTGATAAATGGTTTTGTTTGCTTTACCACAACTTTTCCTGGTACTTTAAAATAGCATGCTAATAATTTCCACTTCCCATTTAATTTAAGATATTCACAATCCTCTGCTCAAATTGAAAAAAAAAAACCTACAAAGATTGAAAGATATGAGACATCCTATTTTCTGGCCTGTAATAGATTTTATTTTAGTTTAATAAATAACAATTTTATTCCATGGTATCACCAGAAAATGGAAGTGGGAAGAATACTCTGCATGGCCCATGGGTAGATAATTTGGTCATTTCCTGGCTAGTACTGAAAGAGTATTGTGATTATAATTTGTTTATCTCTACACAATAGCTTCAAGAGTTGTTCCCCTATTATCTGTGTTATTGGTGGTGGTGTCTTAATTGACAATCATGGGTTAATGTATGCAGTGTTGTAGCTGTTTCAATCGTAGGGTATTACAGAAATAAGTTGAGTGAGGAAATATCTTTTATTGGACCAACTTCTCTTAATGAGAGAGGCACACTTTCAAGCTTATACTAAGCTGTTGTTCAGATCTGGGAAGAGGAGAGGGGAAGCAGCTAGTGAGGATTGTTAGTGGGTTAAAATATAACCCACTATAGTAACCTGTAACTCTTGTCAAATACTCCCAGCTGCTTCCCCTTCCCCCCTTCCTTTCCTCCTTGTAACTACAGGGGTGTGTATGGGCCATTTCACCTTAAATCGTCCCTTGAAATATGTGTTATCTCAGTGTTTCCCAACTGCTGTAACAGGGCACACTGATGTGCCATCAGGCCCAAACAGGCGTGTTGGGGAAGTTTTTGAACAACTACAAGTATTAACAAAAAACCTTCCCTTGTATTTTAATTAAGGTTGGAGCAAGATCCCATTATGTACTTTTACGTTCTGGGATGAGGCCCCTTTCAAATATTATGTGTGTATCACATGCCATTTCCCAAAGATCGGCAAAGTAAGAAAAATGCTGCTTGACAACTTATTAGCATTTGATGTAAGGATACTTTGTATTTTCATGTGTTAATGTTGGGTTTTTTTGTTTTGGTGGTTATAGAATTTTAAATTTTTGACTCACATATGTTCATGTGCCTCCTCAGATTTCTGCTTTCCATTTTCCCCTTACCTCCTGCCAGGACCCAGCAGATCAGAAACTGGTGGGAACTACCTGCCTCTTCTGGTTCTGTGCACTGTGCGAGGTAGGGCATTGGCTGGCTTCTCAACAGCCCTCCCTGCCTTGTTCCCTGACACTGTATGGCTAGGTGCTCCCCAGGCAGGGCAGGTTCACAGATCTGAACTACTCCCAACATGCTCCTTCCTCTCTCTTGAAGAAGCCTGCCTCTGGCTGCCTATGGAGCTCAGTTATCATGAGATGTTTTTCAATGCATTTTGCTTGCACTGCCTTTGCATTCCTGACTCTGCGGCTGCTCCTCCACAGAATGCGGTGATCACTATTAGTACTGGTTAGGGGCAGGAGGCAAGGGAGGTGGTTACATCCTCTGGCAGGGATTCTAGGCCGTCCCTCTCCACTGAAACCAGGGCCTTATTAGTGGCTGTAGCGCCAACCATTGAGTCAGCAGGGAAAAACTCCTACCAAAGCATGGTGGCTCATGGCCATGGGCTTACTCATTGATTAGCCGTTGTCTTCCCCTGGCTACTTCCTGCTGCTGTCCCAACAGCTATGCAGATGTCTCACTACCCTGGTCCATGAGCTGCCTGCTACTTGGCATCTCCAAACTTCATGAGCCCTCTAGAAGTGTCTTGCCTTTAGCCTGGGTTGCAGCAGCTCTGTGCCTGGATTTCTGCAGTGGCTTGCCCAGAGCAGATGGTGTGTCTTTTCCCCTGAACAGTTAGCCCCAACTGAGCTGAGCTGCTCTCTTTTAGATCTGTGCACCCGGAGCATGCCCAGTAAGACGGAAGGAGTATGGCTTTCTCAGCCCTGACTGCAGGTCTAACCTCCTCTCACCCAGAGTGGGACGAGTGTACCCCATCACAGTTACTGTGTATTTAAGTATAGTCTGTCTCCTCCTCACTTACTAGTCTTTTATTTTAGTATCATGTACAAAACATGCAAAGTAATCCATCTATTTTTTTCTATATATTTC